AAACGTTTTGGTACTATTCACATGTTTTGAATTGGTTATCATATTACTTTCTGTTAGTTGTTTGAATCTTCCCACTGATGTTTAGGACTGCGATTGATCAGTCTCTTATTGACATATGTGTATCCTGTACGGATTGCCTCGATGATGCCTTAAGTCAGCTGGCCACCATTCATATTTGTTTATGTTGCTTATGACGTCTATGGTCCAAATTATACTTCAATTAGGTCTCAGATAAAATAAATTTATATAGTAATCGAAATTATAACGGGATTAATAACCAATTAGTGGTTCATGATTCATGAACTGATATAAATTGAGACAACAAAAATGAAATAAGTTTCATAGGAACTGTTTAAATATATGTGAATAAAACCAGATGAATCCAATCAACTCACGTTACAGAAATCTACAAAACGAAAAGATATGGTGTCACTTTATAATAGAAATAATTATTTGATCAAAATAAGAGGAATGATGATATTTCTCTGCTTTGGATGAAAAGTTCTGGTATTTTAGGTTCAAGTGGTTATTATGCCTGCTGTCTTGTGGAAAATAATTAAAGATATAATTGTATTTTAATCTATTAAATGTTTAGTTCGATTACTTACTGATTCTCATCATGCATGTTATCACTTATAATGACGAAACTAACTTGTCACAAATAATGCCTAAAGGTTTTTAATACAAATATCACAGTATTATTGACAAACAGAGTTATGACACCACTTTTAATAATATATATATATATATATATATATATATATATATATATATATATATATATATAGTTGAAGAACATATGGAATTCAAAACAACTGTCAAGCAATATCAAAGTCACAATTTTCTATATGAACGTCAAGATAATTCTACTGTACAAAGCTAAAACTTGGAGAACTAATACAACCATCATCAAAATGCTACAAGTATTTATAAACAATTTTCTATGCAGGATACTCAGTGTCCGTTGACCGGATACCATCAACAACAACCTACTGTGGCAGAGAACAAACCAACTTCCAGCTGAGGAGGAAATTAGGAAAAGACATTGGAAGTGGATAAGACGCACATTAAGAAAATCATCAAACTACCCTAACTTAAAATCCTGGAGGGAAACGGAAAAGAGGAAATCCGAAGAACACACTGCTTCAAGAATAGGAAGCAGATATGAATAAGATGTATAACAACTGGGAAGGATTGCTCAGGACAGAGTTGGATAGAGAATGCTTATGGACAACTTATGCTCTTTCACGAGTGGTAACAGGTGTTATATATATACTTTAAAGCACAATAGATCAGTCAATCACTTTAAAAGTAAACAAAATTTATCTCATGTCAAGAAGTGATGTAATTTGAAGTAGAAATTCATAGAAATGTTTCTGTTACTTTGTATTAACTGATATGTTTTACCATTATCCTTGAAAGACAAATTGATTCCACCATATTTAGAACATCAATCATTCTTTTGCGCAGTTTCGAATCCTGTAACTGATTTATTGGAACATTATATACATCTATATTTTGAGATGACAAAACTGTAGCATATTTTTATGAATAACTTAATTATTCAGTACTAGAATGTAATACATAAATTTAATTGACTCAATTACAAAATTCATTATTTCATCTTCATATTTATGTACCTAATATTATCAATCTTTTTCTCTCCATTAGTTTGTGGTGCTTCGTGTAAATGAAGTATCAAAAATTACTAATGTTATTTTCATCTTTTCCTTCTACTAAATAAAAAAATGTTACATAAATACCATAACCGTTACAATTTAATACATTTAAACGTTATGTATTATATTAATTGAATGAAAATTACATTAAATTCTTTTTCATATATTTTGGTTACTTCCCATGATCTGATAGAATCTAATCTGAACTATCAACTATGTTTTTTGTTGCTTTTTTTCCACCTTTTTATGTATGTGATAAAATACAGTATAATCAAATTGTGGCTTTTATCAATGGCAGACTGTCAAGTTTAACTGACAGATGAACACAGTTGGAAATTATGAATTTCAGATTAGTTGAAGTATAGATGAATCTATGAAAACTATTCATTCATTCATTTATTCACTTATCTTTCTATCTTTCTGTCTATTATTGTCTGTATACATACCAATAAATATCTGACCTGACTAGACGTGGGAATAATTAATTAAGATGTATATCATTTGAATATTTCTTACCATTTTGACTAAACATTCTTTCAATAATCCATGTTCTAAATGATGATATTTCTTTTTATTTATTCATTAAATGTTTCATAGTGTTCTTTTTACTTCATATTATTATAAGTTAGCAAAACGTGAACTTAACGTCTTATGGTTGTTAATAATGACAATGTTGTGGTTGGTGCTGCTAGCAGTGGTAACAGCGAATAAAAAGTCAAAATCTGTTGATTATAATGAGTTCAATGTTTAGTAATTGTGTTATATAATAATCTGACATTAAATAAGTAATTGTCAGTCCTTAGTATAACTAAAAAACATCAATTCGTCCGAAATGATTTATTAAATTAAAAGTAGAAATGTATAAGTTTTACATATATGATTTTATCAATCCAGATTTTATACGGATTTGTTAAAGTGTCATAATATAAACATTGAATGTAAACAGTTGTTACTACAAATATTTATAGAGAAGTACCTTATTTGATTAAATGCCTCTTTATCCCTATTTAACAGAGTAAAATTAATTAGTAAACATATTGTCCTGATTCTTTACTTGATCAGGTCAAATCAACTTCTGAAACCCATGTCGAAATCTACTAAAATGTTATTACCAACACAATTTTTTTATAGAATTTGTACGCTGTAGATTATAATGGACTTTAAAAGATATTTCTGGTGGGCCACTGTGATTAAAACCCACTAGGTATTTTAAAATGAATCTGTTGATTGTTTTTCATTCTCCTTTCAAAAGCCAGAGAGTGAAACAACAAGTATTAAAAAGTCTTTTTTTAGTGACTAATGTAGTACGCTTTACAATACTAAGTAAACCTGTAGATGGATAGTAATATGAACAAAAGCCAGCATTTATCTTGAATATATCCACAAGTCAAGGGGCTTGTGTGGAGTGTAATATAAGTTTTAAGGAAATTACATTTTACATAGATTTTAAAGGTGTGTTTCTCAAGATTTTCACCTCAATCTTTTTTTAATACAGTGTTCATGCAGTGAGTTTTTTTCATGGAACTGTAAGTTATCATTTATCTTGAATTTCTATCAATGATTTTATACTGATAAGCATCAATGTTGAGTGCTTCTAGGCGTTCAAATATTTGGCCTTCTCCATATCATCAGTGTTTATTCATGTGGCTTTTAAATAACGAAACTGAATTCAATTCTGATTCCTGGTTAATAAAATACGACTATAAAAATTCAATTATTACTTTTGTAACTTCTTCCGAATAACAGTATAATTTTTTACTTAAACATTTTCACTAAGTCAATCTCAAGTTAAACTAAGTATAGTAAGGATGATAAAATAACATCCATAAAACATATCTGTTGGATAAAAAAAGTCAATATCTCAACTATTTTCCTCTGAAATACTTTGTTATTACTTATTGTTTGAGATCAAAAAACAGATAAAGTATTCCATTGAACTGGATACAGTATTCTCGACTTCATGAACACTAAGAATCTAGAGAGAATATATATTAAGTGCTTATTCTAACCGAAGTTGATGAGCAATGATCTTAACTCTTATCTGATTTTATATATTTTATGAGTTCCGATTTATTTTGTAGATGTGACTATAATGTCACTGTTAATACATTACAAGCTGAATGTAACTTTAAAATGTGATAATTAAAAGTTATTAGTAGTCCTGTCAACAAAATATTAAAGTGACACTGACTATAGGTGATAATTGCATAGATGTGTTTAGAGTTGGATACATGAAGAGATCTGTCGAAAATTAGAATAATTTATAAATTGTAATTAACAATTTTTAGGCAGAACGTGTATAAAAAATGTTAGTCAAGTCAATTTTCAGAAAGTTTTATTTTTTAAAACTGTTTTATACATGCTGTACTTATTACATCACACCTAGTTATGGTCACTAAACTGAATTTTGCAATTCAAATTTATTTAGGGTAAATAACTTATACTGAGTGCTCATAATTTTTGCTATAATTTTAGCAGTATTTATCATTGACTAAAATGTCAGGATGTTTAAGCTATTTTATGTCAATAAAATAATCTTTACAAACGATTTGATGTAAGCAAACTACTCACATCAAGTACTGAAAAACATTACCACAAACAACTACTTTTATAGGTAGATGATTGTCAAATGGAAAATGTAATCGAGAATCAATATTACTAGTGATATGATTTAAAAGATATCATGAAATGTTGGATTTCAGATTGCTTTTTCTATTGTTGTTAAGTTATTCATCAGATCCTACAGTTCATTGTAGTTTATCAGTCCATTCTAATCTAATAGCATGGAATTTCCTCACCGGGGATATTTTAGAGAGAACACAAATCTGTGAATTTTATAGACATACGAAAAGGTACAATCTATATACACTAACTGTAAGAAGCTGCTATAACACACTTGAGCCATACATAAGTATCAGTTAGTTAATATGCAAAGAAATAACAAATACGGTAAAAGTACTATGAAAAATATTTCAATTAAACTTCACCGCTCACATCTAAAATGCTAGTGTAAATCAGGACATCATGAGTTCTTTATAGACATACAATTAATGGTTAGGATAATTTTTGTAAAGGAAATACAATTAATTATTCTTGATTTTATTTTTGCTTCATGCACTTATACCCCATTTGTTACTATGTTCAATTTCGTAAACACTTTTGTGTCAATAAAACCTACTTAGGATGATTGTTGAAACTGTCTTTACAACAGTTTCCCTAAAAAGTTGAAAAAGTTGGAAGTTAAATGGTGAACACATAAAATAATATTTTTCACACTCATAATACACATTAGTTTTGTAATTAGTCTATACAAATGAATCCGTAAGAGTGAGGTTTAATGAACATATGGGTTATCCTGTAGGATCAAAATCAATATCCGCGTTAAAATTATCCAAATTCTTTCAATTGTTACGCAAAGAGGTTTTAGAGATTTCATATTTCTCTTCATTATTGTACATGACTAGAATTTCAATCGTAGCTGTTAACAATACAATCAGAAAATTGTTAAAAGTCAAAAATTCATATAGAGACTTGTATTTAGTTTTTGAATAAGCTATATTCATCAGTTTGTATGAAGGAAGAAAAAAGCATAAATAAAACAAAGAAGGCTACAAACTCACTAATAATATCATACTTCCATTATTTAAATCATTTCAAACTAGATGAATATCTTACTTTCAGTAGAATTTTGTTCATCATAGAAATTAGTCAATTGTTGTTTATTAACTAACCAGTCAGATTCTTTTAATTCTGTTGAAAAATTCCATCTTAAATTAGATTTCAAATTTTCATTTTTAGTGTTATTATTACTGTTATTAGTAGGAGAGATAGATGTATCCCCATTAATTGAAGTATTCACAAGTTGATGATTGTCAGTGAAAGTATTATTCAAATATAGGGAATTAGTTAATTCTGTTGAATTCCAAAGTGTGTGATTATTTTTGATAGAAGCATTAGTCGTTGTTATTGCTGTTTCAAGTGTATCATGTACATCATTCTTTTTTATATTAGTTGGATTAGTTACTACTTGACTATTGTGATCACTATGTCCAGATATTGAGTAACAGTTAAAATTAACTTCATTATTATTTTTATTTTTAACGTCATTTTGAGCATTTAATGACCACTCAATACTAGTTGGTGGAGAAGAGGAATACTTTCTCTGTCGATCCATTGGGATATCATTAGTAGAAAAAGGATTTTTTACAGAATGACGCTTGACATCTGTAATATACTGCCATCTTTCATGCATAGAACTTGCATTGCATTCAGTTGAACTGTGTTGTTGTTGGTAATGTTGGTGTTGATGATGCTGATTCAATTCGTCATTATGTTGAGTATATCCAGATTTATTAATGATTGGCAAAGATAAATCCGTATTTATATTTGACGATTTATGAGCAACGTTAAATTGATCTCTAAATAAATGTTTACTATCGAATTTCTCGTTATTTATAGACGTAATTAGATCAGATTCATGAAATGGTTTTCTACTTATTTCATTGTAATTTATACCCGATTTTGCTAATTTATTCAAAGTTAACGATAAATATGGATGTGATTCATAAAACTGTTTAGAATGATGAATTAAATTAGATTCATAATTATTGAAATTTGTACTGATTGAATTTTGTTGATCAAATATACCTGCAATCTGTCGAGTATCAACAGTACTAGGAGTAGGAATAAATGAAGACGAATTAGATCCTAAAAATAAATTGGTATATTTATTTGTATTTTCGTTAGTCACATGTTTATTTAAATGATTTTGTGTTGCAGTTAATTGATTACCATTTAAATTAGTACCAGCAGTAACAGCTGCAGCCATAGCACATGCAGCCGCGGCCGCAGCAAAAACCGCTGTTGATGTTGATGAATTATTATTATTAGGTGTAGGTAATTCATTTTGTTCTGAAAAAGATAAATGTAAGCTCAAATCACTTGATCCATTGATTATGCTACCACTTCCACCTAAACGTTCACGTTTACGCCATTTAGCACGTCTATTTTGAAACCAGACTTGTACTCTAGCTTCTGTTAATCCAGTTCTCAATGCTAATTGCTCACGGGCATAAACATCGGGATAATGAGTTTTCTACAAAAAATGTTTTTTAAAAAAAATAATCATTTTAAAAGTTGCGTTTACACCAAAAACATCTATGATCATGAAATAAATGTGTTAGGATAATTTTGGCTTTTAGATTCATAATTAGGTGGTACATTAAAAATTATATTTCTTTAAATTTGTTAACATATACCAAACATCAATAGTTGAGATCATGAGTCAATTGAAGTTATCCAACATGGAAAACCTGGAAGCACTAGACGGTCATTTTGTTTTATTGTGGGACTCCTCAACAGTGCTCATCACCCCGCTTGCGAGACTGACAGGTCCAGGGTTTGAATTCCATGAGGCAGGGTTGTGAGCGCGCGCTGCTGAGGAGTCCCACAATAAGATGAAACGACCGTCTAGTGCTTCCAGGTTTTCCATGTTGGATAACTTCAATTGACTCATGATCTCAACTATTGAAATTACTACAATCTCCACAAAACCCGTTCTGATACTAATATAACAAATATCTTAATTGATAATGTAATAGAAATACTATAGATAGATTTAATAAACCTATCGAAATCACTTTAAAACAATTTTAACCTTTACTTCATTTTTAATAAATATATTTTTTGCTATATCTTAATGAGTAGAAAAACTGTGTTTTTGACGTTTCGTGACTAGATGTAAGCTATTTCTTCAGAGTAAATAAAGTGGCTTACATGAATTCATGAAATGTCAGAAATTCAATTTTGTTTACTCATTTGAATATAATAAAAATATATTTATTATTAACTTTCTACCCAACCCTCAATTTATTTGAAACCATCAAGTTCAACCTTGGTATTGATACTTATAAACTTTGCTTCATTGTTATTGTATATTACACAATTAACGATAATAATAGAAAATTAATAAATCATGTCATGTCGGAACCAAAATTATACAGTTTTAATAATTTGTACAAGAATAAAAACAATCTTTTGAGTCTTTTCGGAGTCAATCAGTCAGTCATCTACAACGTAGGACGAGGTACATATGTGCATCGGTCCAAGTTACCATACCGCATTAGCACAGCAAGGTGAACACTGGATTCATAGAAGTAGTTAATTCAATGGTTGTAATATATAAAAGAAAGATTGCATATAAGGATATAGTACAGGAAGAAAAAATTAGTACATTTTCCAGAGTAGTGAGTAACCGATTACTAAGTATGAATTCATAATGTTTATCTTAATAATAATTTTGGAATAAATCAGTGTAGTATTTTTATTAGTTATCTTAAGATAGTCAGTGAAACACTATTTGTATGGAATTCAAGAATGATAATTTCTATAAGATAGAAGTCAGAAACGTAAATGATCAGGATTTTGAAGTGACATCTACAGTTTCAAATGTTCGTTGTGTGAACTGATACTACCGGAACTTTGGAAACACATGTTTTCTACATTGTACATATAGTTAGTGAATAGCAGATGTTTAAAATAATTGAGTTTTTAGGATTATTAAGAGGTCATTATGAACATTTGATTACGATAAAAGGGATTAGATTAAAATATAATTTAAATAATATATACTAAGTCTTGTTAAGCTATGAAGTGTATGATATTTACTGTTGATAAAATTAAAACAGAAGATTGTACAGAATAATCAGATTTCATTTTATAATATAATATATGTACTGACATAATAGGTATTTTAGTCTCTGTTCACATAAATAATTATTACAGTATACATTTTAAGAATTAAAGATATGATGCTAAACACAGTTGTGGAGACATCTTAAAAGTAAGGAAATGATAAAGATACTTTTTGATTGTTTAGAAACAGAACTATTGCTTGAGATACTTTAAAATGAAATCTGTGATTAACTTTTAAGTTGTCTCTCATATTTCAATATCGATATTCTATGTCACAGATGACCACCATGTAGTATGCTTCAAAATGTATTCACAAACAACACAACGGTATCCATTTAAGGAACTGATTTACCGATAGAAATTTACAAATTCTGAGAAAATTTACACAATTCTAAAGATTTTATACACTATAACCAATGTATAAATGTTAGTCATAATGACCCATAAGCCAAATAATTAATACTCAACTAATTAAAATGATTGGTCTTGAATAAAGTCAAATCAAGACTAATACAGATTCATGAGTCTCAGTTGGATGATAGACGCAATACGAATATTTGTAGAATGATCAATATGTTATATCTATTTACTTTTTAATTATTAATAGTGAAATATGTAATAAAAGTCTATTTTGGTAGTTTTTATTTAAGACTTAAGTCTTTTTGATTGGGATCATGAACCGATTGATGTTAGACCACCATCGAAAACCTGGAAGCACTGGACGGCCGTTTCATCTTATTGTGGGGCTCCTCAGCAGTAAGCATCCATGGTGCCACCTCGTGGGATCCGAACCCAGGACCTATTAGTCTGGCACACGTTAGCTTAACCTACTGGACCACTGAGCTGGCATCCAATGGTGTTAGTGTCTAACCTCAACTAATCCACGAATAAATAACAATTACCTATCATAATGCAACTATACAGTTTTATTTGTTTACACCACTGACCATAGTTCATTTAAAGTTTCCATCTTTACCATTAAAAATACCTGAATTTTTATCCATCTGTATATGTAACCATTAATTTTTTTTCTTTTACACAAACTTTGTGTCAATCTAGTATACAAATAATCGTATTCGTTATATTGTAACGATCAATTTGTTTTTAAATGATGCATAAATTAAGAGGATTTTATTTATTGTCAGAATGAATAAATGTGGTTTCAACAAACTTTTTACAATGTGTACGTTTCTGACTATATTGCCAGATTGATTATTTGATCAAATACTACAGTGTTTAATGAATAGGCTAATTAAAACAGTTAATTATAACTTAATCGAATTTACCATTTCATAATTGAGATGTATGTAAAGGTTTGATTTGTTAACTAATCGAGTAATTTTTAAGATGTCTATACCCGTTCTTTTCTTTGCTGTTATTAAATGGGTGGTAATATGACATTAACTTTTCTTGTAAATAATGTTCATAATGAAACAAAAGTTAATTCATTATGGAACATTTATAAGATTATAATGTTTTTTATGTTTGTACATTAATGTTTCCAGTATAATGCAATAAATAATGTAATAATTATTATATTGGTGCACTATTTTAACTTAGTCACTAATTAAACATCTATATGTGCACAGTGTTAATATTATGCTCTTATAAATATATGATATTTATATGTAGTTTCCATTTTGAATTAAAAAAAACAGATTCAAATAGGTCTGTTGTGAGATAGTAACTCACTGAAGACAATGATGGACGGTGGCGCAATTTCGTGAATTGATTGAAGTTAGAGATTAACAGCGTTGGATGCCGAATTAGTGGTCTAGAGGTTAAGCTTTCGCGCACTATACTAATAGGTCCTGAGTTCGGATCCCACGAGGTGGGACCGTGGGTGCGCACTACTGAGGAGTTCCATGCTAGGACGGAACGGCCGTCCAGTGCTTACAGGTTTTTATAGCGGTCTAGTTTTAATTGACTCATGAGTTCAACTATAAGATTCACAGCAATTGAAAAATAAAATGAGACTGTTCAACTGTAATATTTCAATTAAAGTTTCATCATCTCTGAAAATATCTAATTACATGCAATATTGAGTTCAAGCTTTTCATATAATTTAGTAGTTAATTTACGGAACAGCGTAAGTGTTCGTGAATCCCCAGAACATCTGCCTTCAAATGTTCAACATGTGTACGGTATCTAGCATTTTCCCGTTAACCCAGTGAGCAAACGTCACATATGAAAGTGGCGATTTTATTTCAAGCTCTAACTTTTACTTCATTTAGCATTATTTATCTTAATCTTGCCAGTGATGTTTAGCACTGCGACTGATCAGGCTCTTATTGACACATATGCATATTGTGCGTATTGCGTCGATATTTCATTAATTCACAAACATTATAAGCAAAGATGGATGGTGGCTAGGAGTGAAATCTATGACGCGCGTTTTATTCCACTTAGGACTCGTCAGCTAGCCACCATCCATCTTTGCTTAGAATGCTTGTGATTTAAGGTAATATCGAAGCAATCTATACAGGATACACATATGCCATTAAGAGACTGATCAATTGCAGTGATAAACATCAATGGGAAGATTCAAACAACCAATACAAGATGAAATGGATTTCATCCCATTTCTCAAGTTAGTGGCTATCAAGACTCAGTAGCTAAGCGGATAACTCAATGGGTTAACATCAACTCTGGGATGCAGGTACATCCGTTCAGTGAATCCCGAATAGGATGAAATGCGCGTCCTGCATTGCACCGCTGGCCACCATCCATCTATGTTTATTTAACGTTTACTTTATTTTCTTTTTACACTCAGCACGTTGAGATTGATTAAAGTCGCGTGTTCATAGGAAATAATATTTAGATAGCTTTACATGACTGAGATGAGGTCTACTGTGAAAATTATATTCTTATATGAAGATGTGATACAATAAATAAATGAAAAAATGATTTTAAAAGATGCTAGATATCGCTTTCAATTGAACTCTGAAAAATATTGGTTATCCTCACATCCAATTTACTATTTACTTATTAATTTGAAATCCATTGTATCATATTTCCTAACTACTTTTTTTATGATCACTATGACAATTAATTATAAATCTCGAAGAAAGATATTTTTAATGCCTTTTGTATTCATTATACAATGATGATTATATATGATGACTGCCTAACCATTTTGTAGAATTACGATGTGAGAATATAGCAAATGTTCAACCACATTGCTACAGCATACGGACTCAGTTTCATTTATTTATTTATTTATTTATTTATTTATTTTTTTTTTTTAAATTTCAGGTCACTTTGACAGATAAAATTAATCAGGAATTAGACTACAGACTTTTGAGAAAAAGTAAATTATCTACATCTTATGATCTTAACCTATTCTGTTGACTGTTATTTTGTGAGAGTAACTTTGAGTTAAGCCAATTTATTAAAACTAATGAAAGAAAAAAACGAAACTATTTTACTAAGCATTTTGTGTATGGAAGTGATTTTTTTTTCACAGATGTTTATCTTATTTACACTCACACTCACTCAGTTAATATGAAGCATAATGACACAAATATAAGTTCAAACCACATAGATTTGCATTTGTCTTATATATTTGATAATCTTCATTGTAGAGTTTTCTTATTTATCAACTCATTCTTTCTGATAAATTCAAATGATTTGTAAGAATTTTTTCTTTAAAGTAGTTTTTATTGCGCACAAATAGTCTTGAACATATTAGTTATCAAAATGGATGCCCCAAAGTTAGAGTCTAAAGATGTGGTTTCTAAACTTACGAAGTCAGTATTAAGTCAGTAAGTTATCTGTACTACTGAAGAAATAAGCATATTGTCACTATGGAATATAGAACTCAAGATCACGATTTAATAGTCTAAATATATCACATTAGCCGCAATTAATGATGATCTTGTATCCAATCTTGTATTTATTTCGGTTCGCTTCTGAGCAATATTAGCGTAGAATGTTACAGATGAGCGATTTTCATCAGTTCTATTTTTTCTAAGTTAAAAATGTTGTCGTTATAGCCACTGATTATTGGAATCTCTGAAGTTAAAGATCGTTTAGAAATCTGTTTTTTGAAATAGTTATCAAAATGGTTTTGTGATACAAAACCAATTTATTGTTGTAATTAATAAAACTACTGATCGGTTTCATTTTCTTATTTAATACGTTATTTCTGTTTTTTTCCAAATTAGGTAATCATGTAGCAAAACAAAGAATTAATATAGTTGGTAAAGTTCCTGATTTTGATCGTTTTATTCATTCGTAATTTAAATTTGTTTTAAGAAAAATTTTCCACTGCACTTGAAATCAACTAAAAATACTAGTAAAGTTCATGAGGTAGTAAATATTAGTTTCGTTGAAGTTCAAGGTTTCTAACAATTTCGTAAGTATGTCTGCACACTAGAGAATTTTATTATGAACTTTTGAAGCTTTATAGAGAATTTGTGATTAGTGAAGTACATCTACGTCACGAGTTAGACGTGAATCACCAACGGTTATCTCATTATATCATAAACCGACCAAAGTGAAGTTCCAATTCAGTAGTCTAAGCAAACATGTTTAATTCAAAACCTAACCGTTACTGTTCCCACCATTTATGTCAACATATGGAGAAGCTGCTTATCTATTCCAATCCAAGACAGTAAAACTGTATAAAGGCATTTAGTTGCCAGGGGTTCCTTACTCATTATTATTTTGTTACAAAAATGGACATATAAATAAAAACTAGTTAGCCTCGAGATGTTAGATGGTTGTAAGAGGTTGTTAGGAAACCTTGAACCTAGGTTTCATGTCTTCTAACACTCATCAGCAAGATATCTTGATAAACTGCTGCTACCTGTTCACTTGGAACCAACTCTACTAAATTACACATTACCATTCATCTATTGATGACTGATCACTGAATGATGACTAATGTCATATTTGTTTTGTCCTCTAACCACCTAAAACCTTAAGGTAGTGCACATGTCATTGAGTCACTCAATCTAGTAAGCAAAATATCAACTTGATCCATATAATTCTATCAGCACTACATGATTAGACAAACATTATATTGGTCACCAATCAGTGATCAT